AGAGGAAAAGAAGGATTTTCCTAACTGTTTGACACATGCGATTTATGCAAAACGTGGTACGGTGCAAAAAAATCATAGAACACTATGACCTTGATGAAACAACAGCATAATACACTGGTCATCAAAATCAAAGGACAATGAGAAAAATATGCTCACTAAGTTAATGCTGCAACCAATGTACATTGCTATAGTTATTTATGTTAATTAAATAAAATTGAACACAAAATTGCACTTCCGACATACGTTAGAAACGAAAACATGAAAAGTCGGTGATTGACAATGCGATGGGCAATGGATGCATGTTCGATTTCCGGTCTGTAGTGTTAGTTAATTAGTTAGTTCTAAACACTGGCCCTCGGCCCACCTAGCAGGCGTAACCTGCCATATGGCTATGAAGGGACAGGCCAAGCCACAAAGCATAACAAACAAAAACAAAGAAGAAAAAAAAAAAAAGGTTAACACAACCGGAAAATGACAAACTTAATAAACATCTAGTAGTGAGTTCAGATTATACAAAACGAACGATCGCACAAAACGAACATAAAAGCTATGTCTATGTCTATATATATATTAAAAAAAACTGAAAGTTTTAAGATTTTAAATTACGTACAAAAGGGCGTTTATTTAAACGTTTTGCGTGTTACCCTTATTTACTCAATATCATGTTCTTTGTTGCCACTTAAACCAAAAATTCAGTTCAACAGCAATGTCGCAAAATAATTTTAAATATCTTTAGAATTTCCGATACAGATACTCGCGCGCTGGAGATAAAAAGGTTCCCCCCCCCAGTAGAGTATTGCCATTGCTTGCTTTGAAATCCTTGAGTTTGTTAATCGAAAATTCGGTAACGTTTTAGAAAATATGAAACCGATAATAAAATAAATTCCAAATTTCAAATTTGGGATTCCAGATGCCCATATTGGCAGTAGGATTACGTCATTCAAAACTGGATGGCTCTAAGTACCGTTGTTTTATCCCAATGCGAGAAATATACATAAATTTAAGCAGATATTTCATTATTTAATTTCTTCGAATATAATACAGGGCGATAGTATTTGGTGGCAACAGTTTAAAAAGTGAAACGGACATTCAGAGTGATTCAAAGCAAAATCGCGAAACGAAAACAATAGTCCTTCAGGGACAAAGCCCCTTTGGACTAAAAAAAGAATTAAAAAAAAAAAAAAAAAAAAAAAAAAAAAAAAAAAAAAAAACGTAAAGCAGATACATGCATTCCAAACACTCTCGGTGAAATAATATATAGATGTGTCGTTTCCATTTTTGTGTTTTTTTCCTAAAAAATCTTTATAATTTTACTTTCAATGTGTTACTCAGATTATTCAATCTTCTTATAAATTATCAAAATTCATAAATTTATAAGCATTATTTCTGTTTCAGTATGATTTTCTGCTTTGTTATATCTCGATACCAATATTCTTCTTATTCTCATTCACATTTTGCGTAATATCTCTTGCAAATTTTCTAAACAATTTAGAGTTACTAAATAAATCTTCAAACTTCGCAAATTTACATTTTCCTCCCGCACTTCCAGTCAGGCAACGGTCCTCGACGAAGTACTTTGAATCGCCGAATTTATTACAAACTTTACATATATCATTTCCTTGGAGGTGGAACCTTTTTAAGTAAGTAGGGAACCTTCCATATGCAGTGAGAATTTGATTGTCTGTAGTGTTGTTTAAAGTGAATGTAGCGTCTGCGAGTCATCAGCGTTCAGTATAGGTAGGGTTCAAAGGTGTCATTTATGTGAAAGTCAAAAATGGCGAATAAATGGTAGAATCAAGAGAACAGAAACACAAATGTAGGTCAGCCTACATTTGGAAATCCCTCAAAGTGTCATATCAAAAATTTTCAACAGAATTTTAAGCAGTGGATCAGTTGATAGACAACCTGGTTAAGGCTGACCAAGAGCAATAATTGCATCAGAAGAATGTTTTCTGTCGTTGTGCTCGAAGAAGCCACGAAGCGACTACAAGAGATTTGGTTTTAGACATTCAGGGTGTCACATGAACTCGAATTAGCGTTCTACAGCTGCACGAAGGCTTAACATGGATGGACTGTATGCGAGAAAAACCAAATGGCTTGTGTTCCACCCACTCCAGCTACCCGAGGGCCCGTTTTTAAATTGGTTCCACCGTCATGTTCAGTGGAGCCAAGACGACTGGTCTTGAGTATTTTTTACTATAAGTCTTCACGGTGATTGTTTATGACAAGTGCACAAATAACCTGAACAGTGAATTTATAGACATGTTTCGATTTGGAGAGAGAAAGGAACACGCAGCTTGCCTTGGCATATCCCGTTTCCACGACCGTGTTTAATGATTTGGGGAGGAATCATGATAAATGGCCGCACCGAGCTGCGTATCTTTCAAGGAGGTTCTGTGGAGATGCGTCAATGACGTATTGATACCCGAAGTTAGACTGTTTAGGGGTGTTGTTGGCCCTGAGGTTTTGCTAAGGGATGACAATGCTCGGCCTCATCGAGCATATAGCGTATCAGAATACTTGCAAACAGAAGATAGCACTCGAATGGACCAGCCACCTTAATCACCTGACTTGAACCTGACTGAGCATGTGTAGGATGTCTTAGGGCGCCGAATTTCAGCGCGCTAAAATTCCGATTTACAAGCCTTTTAGGGGAAAACTATCCTTTATTCTATTTGTACGTACCGATGTTACGCAAAAACCATATTCAAATTGTTTCGAGAGCGGATGAAATGGATATTTCTGTTGAAATATGATACCCGACATTTTTCGCGATTACAGTACTTCCTTTACGTTGTATCAGAAAAAGTCCGATGTTGTGTCAGATTACCTATGTTAGAGCAGTGCTACGCATAAATCTGATACGTATCCTAAGATGCCCTTTCTAGAAATGAAAAAGGTAAGCTACATTTCGTCATTCGTCTCAGGAGAACGGAAGATACAGAACCATCGCATTTTTTGTGTGTAAGGTTCATTGAGCTCATTGTTGAAGGCGACGAAAGCTGGTGCCACCACCGGGAACCTGAGTGGAAAGCTTTGACCATGCCGTGGTGTCATCCTTCGTTCCAAGAAGTTCAAGAGCCAATCATTGATAGAAAAGCGTTGCTTGCGCTGCTATTTAATTTCCAGGGCACATTGCTTATTGATTTCAAAAGAGATTTTGTTTCAATGCACGTCTCCATATCGCACATGTCGTAGCGCGGAAATTATACACACTAAAGTAGGACACACTCGAGCACCCGCAGTGTATAACTTTTGAACGGAAATGTTTTGATAGCCCCTTATAACACCCTAAATAGGATGAATTTAAGAGTTAGTAACTTTCGAAACAGTTGAAAATTTCAGAAGATTAATTAATGGAAGAACCGACCAATCACAATGCAGAAAGTGGTGGAGCAATGTCAGGAAAGTTCGAATTTCCGTTTCAGGGGCGGAAACAATATGTATACTCGCATGTTAAAAGTGAATTTCATTTTTATCTTTTCCCAACTTTTTAAAAACCCTTTTTATTCTAGAATATTATTGTTAATTCTATGTAGAAATGAGGTTTTATGGAATTTCAAAATAATACGTGAAAGAAATCAGTTCAGTTATTTGCTTGTTGATTCTATCTCACTGTTCGTTTGATTCTTTGCACTCTTCAGTCCATCCTCGCACAACGATCTTGATTCACTCCTCTTTACCGATCTTATTCGTCAAGGTCATTGCTAGTGAATGGTGAGTCATAAAAATGAACTGCTTCAGTTCAGTCATCAAACTCTTTTGATTTAATCAAGGAAACAGCGGTTTTAAACCCTCTACACAAAAAATCCCTTAATTGGAATGAGAGATCAACCTGAGACGTTCAGAAATTAAGTAACAGTCCATTTTTCTTTTTGAATAGGATTTCTAAATTGTAGATTAAATTGCTTTGGATTGCTATGCGTAGCATCAAGAACGCAGTTCAAAATGCTGTTAATATTTAGTATATATTACCTTGAACTGTACAATATTTCTGCAGTAAATTTCGGTTGTTCGGTTGGTAATTTCATCACTACGGTCTTTTGTTACTCATTGTTTTCATTCTTTTACAACTATTTCGAAAGTCGACATTTAATCGATTGATATCTCGTCATCAAATCAAGATTGTTTGATGATCCAAAAGAACACAGAAACAAAACTATAAGTGGCATCGAAAATGCAAATAAAGAAGTAATGTTTTATTCTTCGTAGCTATTTTTTTCATGACTGAAACGTATCCAAATGAAGTTATCAGGACTTGTATTTCTCTTGATTTGCTTTGGAAACATGAATGGTCCTGAATAGGAACAGGGAGCTTACTCAAGCTATGTTCAGGAAGGTGTGAAATAGACAACATAAGCAGGAAGGGTATACGAAACCCTTCATTTTCTATCTCTTACAGGTATTTCCGAAACTTCGGAATACAGAGACCAACCACTTGTGGTCTGAACGTAAGAATATAAAAGCTACTAAGTAAAACTCTAAACTAAAAGCTAAACTTTGAGTACTTAGTATACAAATGCCTAGCACTAAAGATTGGCCTTTTAGATTTAAAGAAAGGTCACGTATGTAGTACGCCGAGCTGCTAAAACTACGATACGTCTGCAATTATCAAGAGGGCTAAACCTCTGGACTTAAAGGCAACCAGCAACCGAGTTAAAACTCGTAAAACTACAGTGGCAAGTGGCTTGCTTCTTATAACTCCTTCCTCTCTCTCGCTTGGCAAAAAGCCACATCTTAAGTACTTGGCGTTAGGAGACAATTTGCATGAACAAGTTAAAGCATTTAATTCTGGCCGGAAGTAGAAAATAAGAAGTGATAGTACAGTTTTAAAATAAAATAAACGTTAGTAAAACTTAGGATCCTTACAAAGTAAGCCGGTTCATTTTCTTAGAAGTTGTTGAAATTTTGTTGGGATCTTGTATCAGCGTCGATTTTAAAGATCATAACCTAATGAAAAACAGATTATAACCAGCTGTTTAAATAAATGTGGAACTTACCTTATAGGCGAGCTCAAGTCTGGTGGTGCAGTGCCAACACTCCACCAGGTAGACAAGGTAAAGCATGGCCATAAAAGCGACAGGTATGAAGACGTAACCGTCCTCGCAAGGGCTGGCTGTGCGACGGGTGGTGATAGGGAAGCTTTGGAAATTGACGACAAGGCGCGTCACGCGCGCGCACTGGCACCAGGCGAGGGCTGCCAGACAACCTGCGATGAGCAAGGTGAGGACGAGGCACTTGACGTGGGCGTCACGCCGGAGGCTGCGGCAAAGGCCCTGCTTCTGGGGACGTTGCTAGAATAAAAAAAGAAATGTAATCATTAATAAAGGGATGCAGAACGCATCTCTAAAGCATGTTTTTCAAAGCAACATTGCCTGAGGCAAGGTCAGTAGACAAACAAAATTAGGCTCTTCGCAGCACTGATGCAACTTACTTACACAAGTGGGTGAAATCAAGACACGAAAAGAGTAGTTGCTTTTGATCCGACTTAAAGTCAGTGACGTCATCCAAGAGCAAGCCTTGTAGTACAGTAACACTGACTTGAAATCTTAGAAAGATACTTCTTAATACTTACGTCTTAAAGAAATTATGTCTCATTTTTCTGAACCATTACACTGTTTTCAAAGTAGTTTTATTTCTTTTGTACGCAGTTTCCTGTTACTTATCACTTGGCAGGATACTTATCATATATGGATTTGGAACCCCAATTTTAAAATATTAAAGACATTTGTTTAAAGATTTTTAAGCAAAAACAATCCTTCCTAAACTTTTACAATTTGGATGAGGCATTTGAAAATTGAAGCCCAGTGGCGCAGTGGCTAGCGTATCGCGCAGCAGCACCACAGGTGCGGGATTCGATTCTTTGGCTGGGCAAGGTCGAGTCAGCTTTTTATCCCTTGATTTCCATCACTTGGGTCGATAAAATGAGTACCAAGTTTGCTTGGGGACTAGATAACCCGGACACTGGGGGTCCTGCGACAAGCTGACCACTTGTTCGGGGCATATGCTTACGCATCCCGGGGCCCACAGTCAAGAAAGCAGATTTCGGGCACTGCAGGCCTTGGCCCATTAGGGCTGTTACGCCACTGAGTTTTATTTGGAAATTATCTTACATGTATGACAATAATCTGCACATTTCATGGAATCGTCATAAAGTTTTCTATTTATAGATAATATATTTTAAACTGATTATTTAATCTGAGGACACACTAATGTATGAGGTTAATTTAAATTTGTTTAACCAGCTATTTTGTGTTCTTAATCTTTACTATCACTTCTGTCTTTCATATTTCCCGCCAAAATACTAATTAGCTCGCGTGTATTTAAGCGAAGGGTTTGAGCTGGTTCAGACAGAGTGTGTTTTGTCTAGTGAAGGCCACGTTGTTGGGTGTGCCTTTCTAAGATAAGAGTTCCTGTCTTCCGTGGTGCATTATGATTGCTGATAAGCATTGTCATGCCGGTGAAGCTTTAAGAGCCAACGTCGCGCTTAAATTACTCTGCGTAGACTTCGGCTCTTATCTATTTAAATTGATTTTTACACTAAGCTTTTATTTTGAGTCTTGCCTTAAAAGGTGGCTGATTTGTAAGCATCAAGGGGGTCTTCTGTTTATCTTAGTTTTAAAATAGTAGGTCTTTTACATGCTTCTCATAGGTGTAAAAGTACTACTTTTTAAAATAGTAGAAAAGAGCTACTTTTAAAATAGTAGAAAAGAGCTAATTTTAAAATAGCAGTTTTTTTAACCCGTAAGAGAACTGGACATATTTATTGGCGGTTCGGGCTATGGCAATGGAACTGGTGCAGCATATGTTATTTAATTGTGTGTTACAGAAACAGACTATGGCAAAATTAGGCTTGAGCTTTACAATTCGTTTTTTCACGCTGAATTGGCTGTTATCATATTTGCCCTTAAATGTATTGACGAAAACCTGATTTTAAAAACATATATTAATATATATACAGACTCAATACCGGGTTTGGAAGCACTAGCCGATGCTGATAACACTGATATTTTGGTCTCATTATAAAAGATCTCCTTGTAAAAGTTGCGAAAACCGGATGAAAGTCCATATTGGTGTTACAGGCAATGAGAGGGCCAGCATGCTAGCCAAAGAGGCTGCTATGGATCATTTTGGGGATGCGTTGGATATTCAGGCATCAAAAATAATTATTATTGGTAAAATTAAAATCAAGGATTTTTATTATGATTGCTGGAAAGAGAAATGAAACATTTCGGGAAAAAGGAAAGATAATTTTTAGTACAAAGGGTGTTTTTGTCTCTGAGGAACTATTGTTTTCGTTTTGCGATTTTGAGTCGAATCGCACTGAATGTGCGTTTCCCTTTTCAAACTGTTGTCACCAAATATTACCGCCCTGTATTATATTTCAAGAAATTAAATAATGAAGAACCTGCATAAATGTGTGTATGTTTCTCGCATTGTGATAAAACAACGGTACCTAGTGCTATGTAGTTTTGGATGACGTAATCGTACTGCGAATATGGACATCTGGAAGAACAAATTTGAAATTTGGAATTTGTTTTATTATCGATTTCATATTCTGTAAAACGTTAATGAATTTTCGATTAACAAACTCAAGGATTTAAAAGCGAGGAATGGGAATACTATACGGTGGGGGGGGGAAGACCTTTTTATCTCCAGCGCGCGAGTGTCTGTATCGAAAATTCTAAAGATATGCTCATTTAGAAATTATTTTGCGACATTGCTGTTGAACTGAATTTTATGGTTTAAGTGGCAACAAAGAACATGATAGTTAATAAATAAAGGTAACACACAAAATGTTAAAAAAACGGCCTATTGGATGTAATTTAAAATCTGAAACCTTTCAGATTTTTTTAATTATTTTTCTGAATTTTGAAGTTTCTAAAAATATGAGATTAATATGTGATTTGATTACAATAAAAATTTGCTGGACACGGGCACTTCCCGGGGTATCAGTATCAGTATCAGTAGCGGGCGCAGCCCGACCCACCTAACCAAACAAGTTGGTCTTATGGTCATGACAGGCCACGTTAATTTCAACTTCCCAGGGTACCCGAAAAGATTTAAATTGCAAACTAATAATCTTTGTAATGCTGAAGGCAATGCACGGCATTTCGTCGAAGACTGCATAGCATTGCGACGTGTTATGGAAAACGTATTAACATAAAGGAATTCCATTGCCACAGGAAATAGTTTAGATCTGTAAAGGATTTGAACTTTATAAATAGCAACAGAACAATACTTGGAATTTTTGTTTGATAGTTTTAACTGTATTTTTGTTTTAATCTGTATTGGGTCTGCTGCGTTAATGATGAAGACAGTTGTTATTGGCCCAGGAGTGTTGCAGCATACTTGTATATCACATTACATTACCTTCTCAAGTCTTCTGCATTATTTTTTAAGGCAAAGCGATAAGTCGTTAACAATCTCATTAACCTTTTAACTGTCATGCCCGAGATAATCTCGGGCACAGCACTAGTGTTCGAAAATGTCACGCCCGAGTATTACTTGGGGTAATTTTTTTTTGAGTGCATCGTATTGTTATACCCGAATATATATCGGGAGACGTTTATTTCGGCTTCATCTCTTTGTCAAACCCGACTGTATCTCGGGAAAAGTTAATGTGCGCTCAGTTCAATAGATGACAGCACTTTACTGAAGATTTCAAAGGTTAGAGGTTATTTGGTTCAAGGTGCATGGGATCTTTTTGTTGTAAAATAGCGTCCAGTTCTTTGAAACGTTATATAGATGATTTGATTTAGATTCTTCAACCGAAGATGAAGGAAGTGTGTCTGATGAGCAGTATTAGTAGTTAGAAAATAGTTAATATTTTTTATTTTTAGAAAATAATGCTCCACTAGAAGCGAACTTTGCAACTGCCATGTTGAGTGACAGCTGCCTCAAAGAAAATATGCAGTGGCTACAAAACTTTAAAAATTTTACCCATGTACGTCAAAATATCAATTTTTAACTACTTAAGTATATTTTATTTTGTACTAAACATTTGGTTTTTGCAATAAAAAAATTTGACAATTTCTGTACCCAAATCATCAAAATAACTTGACAGTTAAAGGGTTAAGGATTAATCACAAGTTACATTTTATGAAAGACTCAGTCTTTACAAATGAATGGTCTATAGACTCTTATTCATTTGATGACAGAATATTTGCCTCTGTAAACTTCCGGGTTACAAATGGCCTACGTTTATGGGTATATATTTCTCTTCACGTAGATATTAGTTATAATACAATTCAGGCATGCATCCATAAGAATCTTGATTTCGAATTTATGATTTCTTTCATTTATTTGCTATTTTATTTGAATAAACCATAGCAAAGTTTTTGCATTAAAAAATTCTTATGCGATGAGAAACAAGCAAAATTAAATATTCCCTAAAATAATGATTTCTGAAATACTTTTTATTTCAAGCAGGTTTTGCAATAAAAGGTTGCCTTAAAACAGAATTCCTTCTCATTTTCCCATACATTTTAAACTCCGTGAAAAAAATTAAAAAAGAAAGAAAGGAAAAAAGAAAAAATAATTAAAAAAATTAAAAAAGAAAGGAAAAAAAATTAAATTTGCATTTCTCTACTAATAGATTCGTTAAAATCATTTTTTCGCAATTTCCCTTAGGTATGTTGAAATCAATGGCAACTTGTCTGAGAACAGTAGGTTTTCGAAGAAACCGAAAAAAAGGCTTTAATTCAATATCCAGTTAACATTTACTTCGAAATAAATCATAAAGTTGACGATGTATTTAAATTTCGTCTTTTTTTGTGTTCCTTCCCAATAATAGCATATTACATATTTATTAGCTATATTCATTATGTTAATGACATAAGTAATTTTTTTTAGGTTTCTCGCTTATAGATTTATAATGAAGTTCATAATAATAGATTAACATATGTAATGTTTTCTTAAATTCTTTTCTAGTTTTATTAACACTGCTTTATTAGTTTTTCTTGGTAGGGTTGATAATTAAAGTAACCAATAACTATCATTTTGGCCTTTACTATAAAATTCTTTTCGTTTTCCTTGCGCCTTTCAGATAAGATGGCTAGTATTTAAACTAACGTTTTTTGCATTTTAAGAGCGTGTTGTAGTTTCACGTGCGTTCTACATGTGAGTTCCTGCCAGCTCTGATAGTTGTAATAACTCAGCTTTGAGATCTATCGCTGCCGACACTTTGGTTTTGATACTCTGGGTAAAATTACTGATAAAGCTTTGAGTAATATTTTATTGCGTGTTTTTTTACTATTGTTTCACGCTTAACTTGAATTTGACTGTTCCTTTTAGCTGCATCGTCACGAGCTGTGGATGATATTGTTGCGAAATGCTTAGCTGCTGTAAGATAGCTTTTCCGCAGAGCGGATTTAGGATTGTCAGAAAATACATGGAAAGGTGGGGTTGCCAGATTTGGCCCGAAATCGTCCTTTTCGGCGACTTTGGGCGACAAAATTGGCGATATGCCATAGATGGAGCGAAAACATTCTGGAACGAATTTTACAGGTTTTTCCAAGAATGTTCTCGGAGGCAGGTCAAAAGCTA